ATACAAGTCATTCTCCAATTGATAAATGGCCAAAGGATATGCAGAGACAGTTTTTGGAAGAAGAAATTAAAGCTATCTGTATGAAAAAAATGCCCTAAGTCACTGTTAGAGAAATGCAAATTAAAACGACTCTGAGGGATCACATCACAACTATCAGATTGGCTAACATGATAAAACAGGAAAATTATAAATGTTGGAAATGTGGGAAAATTGGAACCCTAATCCATTGTTGATGGAGTGATGAACTAATTCAACCATTCTGGAGAACAATGTGGAACTATGCCCAAAGGGCTATAAAATTATGCATACCCTTTGATCCAGCAATAGCACTATGAGGTCTGTATCCCAAACAGATCATAAAAAAGAGAAAAGGACCCACATGCACAAAAAAATATTCATAGCAGCTCTTTTTGTGGTGGCAAAGAATTGGAAGTTGAGGGGATGGTCATCAATTGGGGAATGGCTGAACAAGTTGTGGTATATGAACATGTAATGGATTACTATTGTTCCATAAGAAATGGTGAGCAGGCAGACTTCAGAAAAACCTGGAAAGACTTTCACGAACTGATGTTGAGTGAAGTGAGCAGAACAAGGAGAACATCGTACACAGTAACAGCAACAATGTGCAAAAACTGAGTTTGTTAGACTTAACTCTTCTGATCAATGCAATGACCTAAAACAATTCCAAAAAACTCATGATGGAAAATACTATCCAAATCCAGAGAAAGAACTATAGAATCTGAATGTAGATCGAAGCGTACTATTTCCTCTTTTTTTTTTTTTGTTTTCTCATGGTTTTTCCCTTTGGTTCTTATTCTTCTTCACAACATGACTAATGTGGAAATGTTTAATATGATCATACATGTATAGCCTATATCAGACTGCATGCCATCTTGGGAAGGAGGAAGGGGAGGAAAATTTAGAACTCAGAATCTTATAAAATTGAATATTGAAAACTAAAAATAAATTTTAAAAAAATGTGGCCTTTGTCAGAGAAACTTGCTGTAAAAATATAGATATTACTTCATTGTCTATAGTCACTTAGTTATTTTTCAATTATGTCCAACTCTCCACGACCCCATTTGGGGTTTTCTTGGCAGAGACACTGGACTGGTTTGCCATTTCCTTCTCCAGCTCATTTTACAGTGAGAAACTGAGGCAAACAGGGTTCAGTGACTTGTCTAGGGTCACATAGCTACTAAGTGTCTGAGGCTGGATTTGAACTCATGAAGAAGAGTCTTCCTGATTCCAGGCTTGGCACTCTATCCACTGTGCCACTTAGTTGCCCCTGGATCATAGCACCTTTTAGTATGTAATTTTCCTGATTATCTCTTTTAATTAGGCCTTTTTTTGCTTTGTCCGAGATCATGATTGCTACTCTTGCCTTTTTTACTTTAGCTGAAGCATATGAGATTCTGCTCCAACCTTTTATTTTAACTCTGGGTGTATCTTTCCATTTCAAGTGTGTCTCTTGTGAACAACATATTGTTGGATTCTGGTTTCTAATCCATTCTGCCATCTGCTTCTGTTTTATCGGTGAGCTCATGCCAGTCACATCACATTTATGATAACTATGTATTTCCCTACATCCCATTTTCTTCTGTCTCTCTCCCTGCCCACACTGCCTCTCTTAATCTGCCCTCTCTTTTATCACTTTCCCCCATTCTCTTATTCTTTTCCCCTCCTATTTCTCTATTGGGTAAGTTATATTTCTACACACAACTGAGTGTGCATCTGTGTATATACGTATGTATGTATGTATGTATAGTCTTCCCTCTTTGAACCCATTCCAATGAGTGAGGTTCCAGCATTGCCCCCCACCCCCCCATTTCTCCCTCCATTGTAAAAGTTCTTCCTTGCATACCTCTTTTGTGAGAAAACCCCTCCCATTCTACTTCCCATGCCCCTTCACGTGAATCCCTCTTTCTTCTTCTTTCATTTTTTAGATCATTCCACTAATAATTGTGGAATACCCTATATCTATGTGAACTATTTTAACTACTCTAATAATGATAAAGTTCTTAGGAATTACATGTACCATCTTCCCATGTAGGAATGTAAACAGGTTAATTTTATTGAATCTCTTATGATTACACTTTCATGTTTACCTTTTTATGCTTCTCTTGAGTCTTCTCTTTGAATGTCAAATTTTTTATTCAGCTTTGGTCTTTTTATTAGGAGTGCTTGAAAGTCCTCTCATTAAATATCCATTTTTCTCCAGAAAGATTACATTCAGTTTTGCTAGGCAGGTTATTCTTGAATGTATTCTAAGCCTTCTGCCAATCCTTTCACATGGAAGCTGCTAAATCTTTTGTGATCCTGACTGTGGCTCCATGATATTTTAATTGTTTCTTTCTGGCTGCTTAAAATGTTTTCTCTCTCACCTGGCAACTCTAGAATTTGGCTATATTATTTCTGGGAGTTTTCATTTTGGGATCTCTTTCAAGAGGTGATCAGTGGATCCTTTCAATTTCTATTTTGCCCTCTGGATCTAAGATATCAGGGCAGTCTTCTTGGATAAATTCTTGAAATATAATATCTAGGCTATTTCCTTGATCATGGCTTTTAGGTAGGCCAATAATTCTTAAATTCCCTTTCCTCAATCTATTTTCCAGGTCAATTTTTTTTTGTTTTTTTTAGGCAACTGGGGTTAAGTGACTTGCCCAGGGTCACACAGCTAGTAAATGTCAAGTGTTTAGTCTGAGGCTGGATTTGAACTCAGGTCCTCCTGACTTCAGGGCCAATGCTCTATCCACTGCAGCACCTAGCTGCCCCCAGGTCAATTATTTTTCCAATGGGGTATTTCAAATTTTCTTATGTATTTTCATTCTTTTGACTTTGTTTTATTGTTTCTTGATGTCTTATGGAGCTTCCCCTTGCCCAATTTTAATTTTTAAGGAATTATTTTTTCAGTGATATTTAGTACCTCTTTTCCCATTTGGCCAATTCTGCTTTTTCAAGGTGTTATTTTCTTCAGTATTTTCTTGTGCCTCTTTTACCAAGCTGTTCCTTCTCTTTTCATAATTTTCTGGCATCACTCTTGTTTCTTTTCCCAATTTTCCCCCTACCACTCTTATCTCTTCAACTCTTCCTAGAATTCTCGTTGGGTTTAGGTCCAATTAGGATTTTTCTTTGAGGCTTTTTTGGGTAGCTATTTTTACATTACTGCCTTCTTCTGAGTTTACGTCTTATTCTTCCCTGCCTATGTGGTAGCTTTTTATGGTCAATTTCTTTTTTTGCTCATTTTTCCAGCCTATTTCTTGACTTTGAACTTTATGTCAAAATTGGGCTCTGTTCACCTGGGGGTGAGGAGGCACTGTGCCAAGCTTCAGCCTTTTTTTGTGCTGCTGTTTTCAGAGCTAGTTCTGGGGGTCTGCGAGTTTTTGGTGCTTCTAAGGTGGTATGCTTTAGGGTGAGGGATGACCATTGCTCTCCTGATCTATGCTCTGGTTGTTACCCAGGAAGAGCTCCTAGTTCCCTACAGCTGCAAGTGCTAGCACTCCTCTTCGATTTGGAACTGTGACCAGGGCCCCTGTTCCCTTCCACCAGCACTCCTCTCTGCTGTAGAACTGCAACTTAAAACTATGTATGGGCAATAGAGTTGCCAATCAGTGGTAGCTGTACCCAGTGCCAGCAAAGGGTCCCCTGTAATCTCTTTCTGATCAGCTGTCTGACTCCCTTACCATCTCTAGGCTGAGAGCTCTCAGAGCTGCTGTAGCCACTGTTGCAGCTGACGCATAAGCGGGCTCCAGACAGGCCTCAACCCCAGTGTCACAGACCTCTCTTGCTCACCTCTTAAGTTTCTTAGGCCAGAAAACGGTCTCACTTCAACCCTATTTTGATGGCTCTGTTGCTCCAAAATTTAATTTGATGAGTTATCTTAAAGTTGTTCAGAGGGGAATGTTAGGAGAATTCTTCTGGGTGACTGCCCCTAATCGACCATCTTGGTCTAAATTCTCACTCTTCTGATAGCACTGTTATATTACTAACACCAATACCCAGACCCCTGCAAAAAGATGGTTAGAATGAAGGCCACTCTTACAGCCAGAAAGAGGATAAGTTTTGGATATTGAGGACAGGGACTAGAGTCCAAACACTGGATTTTAGCTCAACCTCCACTTGTCAGCCACAGAGTCTAAGATCATTTCACCTCCATAAGTCTCAGTTTCCTTACTGGTAAAATAGAAATAAGAATGCTTGTACTCCAGTATCTGTTACAGGGCTGCTTTGAGGAATGTCCTTTATAAACCCACATAGATATCTTTTAAATCACAGTTCAGCAATGTAGACATCTGTACAAAACTATGTCCAGGATCTAATAAGTGATAACTGAGCCCAACTTTAGGGAAGTTCTGCTGGCGCTTCTAGTAATTAAATGCCTTAGTTGAAATACAAAACAGACCCTCTGCAATAGTGTAATTTCATGCCACTGTGAGTCACATTACAGCAAGGTACCAAACCGTTCTACACCTGTGTCTACATTACCAGTTTATTACAATGCAGTATTTTGCCTCATTGGCATTTCCCTCATCTAGGCTTCAGTTTTTCCATCTGGAAAATGAAAAAGACATTAAAATAAAAAAGGTATAAAAAGGGCTGATTAATACGAACCTAATATACTATTATGATAAAAGAAACCAAAGGTTGGACTCATTGAACTTTAAGGTCCCTTCAGCCTCTAATATTCCGAGTCTCTAAATAATGAAAGCTTAGGCTGAAGGAGTTTCTATAACATTTTGTTTAGTAACATCAATCGCCTTGATGTTCTCCCTGAGTAAAGATACTCTAGAAATGCCAACTGTGCTTGCAACACTGATCTGAGGTTGGAAAGCTTGGATTGATGGCAAACATTTTTAGCTGAAATATCAAAATCTTAGCACCTAATGGACTTATTTTATACTTAAACACTTAAATGTAGCCTATTTATGAAAGACTTTCCCTAATTATTTGAATAATTAAGATCTCTATTAGAAATTTCTGAAATAACCATAGGCTATAGAGAGGAGACACAAAGGGTATTGTTTTACTTATCCAGTCAACAACCTTCTTACCCAATTCCAGAGAGTTAACTGAATCTAGATATGGCACCAATGGGGAGGTTTTCATTACATATTGAAATTAGGATAGCGTGGGATAAAAATTTAGTCCCACGATGATCAGATCCCAATTATGAAGAACACGCAGCTGAGGATGGCACCTTATTCATCTGTCTCCTCGTCATCACATGGATTTCGAAGTCCATCACTAAAACGACTTTTCCCGGTCATTTCTAACAAGCACCGTGCCTCAATGTTACTGTCCAGAATAGTCTTCTTACCAGATGACTAAGGAAAAAACAGAGGATTAGATATGTTTGCAACACCGGCACAGAGGTACATGTAATTAATAGCTTAGAATGGACAAAAGTCAACCTATTATTAATTCCCAAGCTTATTAAAATAGGCTTAACTATATTATTGCCATAAAGGAAAGAAACTGGACCAGATAATCTGGTTTCCCCTTCTTATTCTAATAACATTTTAAATAAGTCATTATTAAAAACCTAGCTTTGAGTTTTCAGAGAAAGCCTGTCAGGAGACCCCATCCTGCCCTGCTGGAGAGAAGGTACAGTCTACTGGAAAAAGCCATGAACTTTTCTATGGAACTGGGAAGTCATGGAAAATAAATTAGAATCCCAGCTCTACCCTGAGATTGCTATCTCAGTCTGCTATTCACGGGCTTTTGGGCACGTCAATTCTCACCTGTGTAAAATATAAGAAACTGAATTCAAGGGCTTCCAAAGTCCCCTTCTGCTCGACTCCTTTGCTTTGTAGCTGCATTCAAACTTCATCCTCCTCCTCCTCTCCTTCACATATATCACAGCCTCTGCAAGGCTGGAGGCTCTCTTCCCTCTAACCTGCAGTGACACTATACTGACACCCATAATCAGAGGGCAGGCGCAAAAGCCACACTGCCTGGGCAATGGAGCAACCCTCATGAAAACAAAGGAGAAGGAAGAGAGGGCTGCCAATCTGGAAACCTGCTTAATGGCCATCAGAAGGTCTTCAGAAACCTTTGCCCGATCCAAACAGAAATGAGGCTACCCAGGCTAAAATTACAAGTAGAACCAATTAAGGAAAATTTGATTAAAGAAAGAAGGGGCCTAAGTAAAGGCAGGTTTGGGTTGCTCCTTCAAAAGCTGATGATATTCTACTTTAATAAACCCAAAGATCCAAGCTTTTGGGGGTAAGAACTCAACATATGACAAAAAATTGCTGGAAAAACTTGAAAGCAGTTTAATGGAAACTAGGTATAGACCAGTATCTCACATTGTATACCAAGATGAGGTCAAAATGGATAAATGATTTAGATATAAAGGGTGATATCATAAGTAAATTAGGGATGCATGGAAAAATGTACCTGTCAGATCTATGGAAAAGGAAGAGTTATAACCAAACAAGACAGAGAAAGGATCACGGGAAATAAAACAGATAATTTTGATTGCATGAAATTAAAGATTTTGCAGAAACAAAACTAATGAAGACAAAATTAGAAGGAAAACAGGAAACTGGAGAAAATTTACAGCAGGTTTCTCTGATAAAAACCTAAGTTCTCAAATACACAGAGAATAGAACCAAATTTATAAAAATAAAAGCCATTCCTCAGTTGATAAACAGTCAAAGGATATGACTTTTCAGCCAGAAGTTTTCAGAAGAAGAAATCAAAGCTATCAACAGCCACATGAAAAAATGCTCTAAATCACTACTGATTAGAGAAATGCAAATTAAAACAACTCTGAGATAATTCACACCTGTCAGACTGGCTAACATGACAGGGAAAAATTGATAAATGCTGGAGGGGATGGGGAAAAATTGGGACACTAATGCACTGATGGTGGAGTTGTGAACTAGACCAACCATTCTGGAGAACCATTACAAACTATGTCCAAAAGGCTATAAAACTATGCATACCCTCTGACTCAGCAGTACCACCACTAGGTCTGTATCCCACAGAGTTCAAAGAAAAAGAAAAAGGATCTATTTGTACAAAAATATCTATAACAGCTCTTCTGTGGTGGCAAAGAATTGGAAATTGAAAGGATGCCCATCTATTGGGGAATGGCTGAACAAGTTGTGGTATATGATTGTGATGGAAAACTACTGAGCTACAAGAAACGACAAGCACAGTGGTTTCAGAAAAACCTGGAAAGATTTATATGAACTAAGGCAAAGTGAAGTGAGGAGAAGCAGGAGAACACTGTACTGTAAGGATGTTACAACTGTGAAAGACTAGCTATTCTGAGCAAAACTATGATCCAAGACAATTCCAAAGGACCCATGATGAAAAATGTTATCTACCTCCAGAGAGAAAGAACTGATTAACTCTGAATGCAGACTTAGGCATACTTTTTTTAAACTTTATTTTTATTATTTTATTTGGTTTGTGTTTTCTTTTGCAACACGGATAATATAGAAATATGTTTTGCATGAATTCACATGTATAATTGATATCAAATTGCTTGCTTTCTCTAGGAGGGAGAAGTGGGCGGGAGGGAGAGAATTTGGAGCTCAACATTAAAAAAAACTATTATCAATAAAATTTTTACACATAATTGGGAAATATTTAATGAATAAAAATGACCTTTTTAAAAAAGCTAATGATAGTTCAGGGAGAAAAAGGAATAAATTTATGGAGCTAAGTTAGGAGGCAGCCTCTCAAACCAAATATGTATGAATAAATACTTCTCCAGAAATCAACATGGCAAAATGAACACAGGACTAGTCTTGGAGTCAGGAAGACCTTCAGGCTTCAACTTTGTCTCTGCCACCTTCTATTTGTGTGACCACTTAAGCTATCACCACCCTCGAGCAACTGGGGCTTTAAGTTGCGAATCTGTATTAGTGAAGTGAGTTTTAACACCGGGAACTCTCCAGGTGGTGGCCAGAAGCCATGAAAAAGCTGAGGAATAACTAAAAGACAATGAGGCACAACAGAAAAGCTCTGTATTTAAAGCTGAAGGACCACTGTTCAGAACCTGGCTCAGTAACCTATGTGCCTTGGGGCAAATCATTTCCCTGGTCTATGTCAAAATTTCTTCATCTGTCAAATGAGGGTGTTTAATGATCCCCCAAATCACTTCCAGCTCTAAAGCCTATGATTCCTTGGTCTCTCCTTCCAAGCACCTGCATTATAAGATTTAAAATAATTTATCCCTGGCTTCAGGGGATATTGGACGGAGGGAAGAGGAAAAAGACTGGTTAAATAGGTTAATGGTTATATGCTCAAGACAATGGCTACATGCTTAGAAAGTGTTAGTCACTTACCTTCTCATTTGCAAAATCTCCAACCGCCCATACCTCTAGGACATCGAACTCAAAATTTTCCTTGGCTGATAGTTGAGGGCTGTTATAAGTAGAACATCTAGGTTTTGCTTTGCTGTGTCCTTTCCCAAAATCATAATCAATCCAAAGCCCAAAGTAATCAAACTGACCTCCCATGCCCTGCAAAAGAAATGGAATAGCAAGCAAATCCACATAAATGAGTCCATCCATCCCAGAAAGACATGTTATTACTTAGTTTTAAAACATCAAATAACATAATCCTAGGTCACGTGATTCTTTTCTTGAAAAGAACAATGACTTATAAAATGGTAATCATCAAAACAAACTGGTACCAGCTAAGAAATAGAGTGATGAATCAGTGGAATATATTAGGTACCCAATACACAGTAGTAAATGACCACAGTAATCTAGAGTTTGATAAACCCAAAGATCTAAGCTTTTGGAACAAAAACTCACTATTTGACAAAAACTGCTGGGAAAACTGGAAAACACTATGGCAGAAATTAGGTATAGACCAATATCTTACACTGTATACCAAGATAAGGTAAAAACGCGTACAGATCTAGACATAAAGGATGATACCATAAACAAATTAGGAGAGTATGGAATGGTTCACCTATCATATCTATGGATAAGGGAAGAATTTAGGACCAAACAAGATATAGAGAGCATAATAAAATGTAAAATGGATAATTTTGATTATATAAAAATAAGAAGTTTTTGCACAAACAAAACCAATGCAACCAAAATTAGAAGGAAAGCCAAAAACTGGGGAAATTTTTACAGCATGTATTTGTGATAAAGGCCTCATTTCTCAAATATATAGAGAACCGAGTCAAATTTATAAGAATGTAAGTCATTTCCCAATTGATAAATGGTCAAAAGATATGAACAGGCAGTTCTCAGACAAAGATATCAAAGCTATCTATCATCATATGGAAAAAAATGTTCTAAATCACTATCGATTAGAGAAATGCAAATTAAAAAAAAACAACAACTCTGAAGTATTACCCCACACCCTTCAGATTGGCTTATATAACAGAAAAAGAAAATGATAAACTTTGGAGATGTGGGAAAACTGGGACACTAATGCATTGTTAGTGGAGTTGTAAACCAATCCAAACACTCTGGAGAGCAATTTGGAACTATGTCCAAAGGGCTATAAAATTGCACATACCCTTTCATCCAGAAATATTATTGTATCCCAAAGAGACTTTTTAAAAAGGGAAAAGGACCTATTTGTACAAACATATTTATAGCAGTTCCTTCTGTGGTGGCTAAGAATTGGAAATTGATGAGATATACATCAATTGGGGAATGGCTGAACAAGCTGTGGTATATGACTATAAATGGAATATAATTGTGCTATAAGAAATGACAAGCAGGATGATTTTAGAAAATCCTGGAAAGACTTATGTGAACTGATACAAAATATAGTGAGCAGAACCAGGAAAACATTGTACACAGTAACAGCAATATTGTACAATTCATACAAGTATAAAAGACTTTGCTGTTTTCAGCAATACAATGATTCAAGACAAGCCCAAAGGACTCATGATGAAAAATGCTATTTCCCTCCAAAGAATTGATGTCATCTCAGGGCAGATCAAAGCATACTATTTTTCCCTTTCTTTTTGTTGTTGTTGTTTGAGTTTTCTTGCCCAAAATGACTAATATGGAAATGTTTAACATGACTGCACATGTATAACCTATATTAGATTGCTTACTATCTCAGGGAGGAGGGAAGGGAGAGAGGGAGGAATTAGAATTTAGAACTCAAAACTTAGAAAAAAAATATTATTTAAAAAAAAGAAAAGAGCAGCAACTATTTAGATCTATCTTTTTAAAACTAGACTTATAATACTGAATCTCCACTAAAGTCTTCCTGCAATGCTTCCTCATGGCATGGAGATGACCCTGGGTTTTCAAAGGTCATGCCATACTGGAAATGGTCCAAGAATGAGCCTGGCAATGGACTAAGTTCAGCCTGGCTAAAAAGGCCCATCACCAGCTCATTGGCCAAAAGGGAGGATTTTCAGGTCCAACAGCTCAGAAGGACCATCTACTGAAACACTGCAATGCATTCTGGGAAAGGGAGTATCCAAACAGACAAAATCACAGATACAATAATCTTAAGTAAGACCAGGAACAAAGAGCATCAGAGGTTATTTTCAATTTATCAACTATTTAAGTGCCTCCAATGTGCAGAGCACTGTGATGATTCCATGGCATGCCAGTTGCCTAGTCTGGCCTCTTCCTGCCTGCAGGGAGACAGAGAAATGCCATTCCATTCCCAGTCTGGTCCCTCCCTGGGGAAATGATGTGCCAGTCTCCTAGGCTGGCCTCTTCCTGCCTGCATGAGGACAGAGACTAATCCCCCAACTTGCAGGGTGAGGTAGTGGAGTTGGAATACTTCTTACTCCTCATTGTCATTTCCAAACTCATTTTCTACGAACATTATTCAGCAAATTGTCCTTTGAGGTTCACTTAATTCCTATCTGCCACACATCCAACATTCTGGTAGCTGTTGTCTACAGACCTCCAGGACACTCTTTCCTCAATGAGTTCAGTGCCTGGGCTCACAATGCTTCTCCCTTTCCCAACTCCTGCCCTCATACTAGGGGACTTTAATATAAACCCTGATAATCCCTTAAACACCTTAGCTCTCACTTCCTCAACTTACTAATTTCCCATTACCTATTCTTCCATACCACCGTGGCTAAACACAGATGGTCATAATCTCCATCTGGCCATTATCCACAAATGTAAAGCTTCTGTGTTCAGGAATTCTGACATTCCCTTTTCTGATCACAATGCTGTCATTTCAGCACTCCCTCTGCCCTATTCTTCATCCTCATCATTACCTCCAGTCCCTCAAGCCCTTAGTTCTGTCTCAGGCTATCACCCCTAGACTGCCCCTACTCTCCTCCCTTCCCTACTCTGACCCCTTGGTGAGCCAGTTCATCTCTACACTGCCCTCTTCTCTTGAGTCCCTTGCTACTTCATCCTATTACCAATCTTGCCCTGCTAAGCCTCATCAGTTGCCTTCCCTCCTACTTATGTGCCCTGAATGGAAGCTGAAGAAAAATTGTAAAACTGTGCTGATTGGATGCACTACAAATTCATGCAACATGACTTCAATGGGACCCTCATTGAAGCAAGGCTTATTTTTCAACACCAGGTCATCCCCTATCCCAAAACCTCCAGTTGCTCCCTGTGGCCTCTACTAGGATAAAAACATAAAACCTTGGGTTAGACAGTCAAAGCCCTTCATACCTCACTTTCTCCCCCCAGTTTACCAGTCTTCTTATGCCTCACTCTCTTCACATACTTTGCAACCCAATAACCCTGGTCCTCCTTACTGTTACTTGAACAAAATACTCCACCACCTTCTGACTCCAGGCATTTTTACTAGCTGCCACCATGCCTGCAGGATTCTTTCCATGCTCATCTCCACCTCTTGGCTTCCCTGACTTTCTTCAAGTCTCCAATAAAATCTTACCTCCTACAAAAAGTCTTTCACAATCTCCCTTAATGCTAATGCCTTCCCCCTGTAGATTATCTCCAGTTTACCCTGTATATATCTTGTCTGTACATAGTTGTTTGCATATTGTTTCCTCTCAACTGACAGTGAGCTCATTGAGAACAGGAACTGGCCTTTCTTATCTCAAACATTTAGCACAGTGCCTGGCACAATAAATGTTTACTGATTGACTGTACCAAGCCTTAGGGTTATAAACACAAAGAAAGCCTCTGTCCATTCCTTTAAGAAGTTTGTAACAGTGGGAACAAGATCCATCCATAACTATGGTGCAAGGCTGAATATATAATGCAGATGTCCAAGAAAAGTATAATGACAAACATGTGAAGAGAGAAAGAGCAAAGATCATTTTCAACTGGGGAAGTGAAGAAGACAGGCAGATGTGGGCTCCGTCATGCCCTTAAATCCCAAGTCTACTTGAGAAAATAATACTTATGCATTGTAAACAATCAGAGAATAATACAAGACAGATAGAAGGATTGAATGGGTATAGAGGAGAGAAGACTGGACATAGAATAGCCATCACGGGAAATATGACAGTTAGTAAGTCCTAAAGAACCAAAGATCCAGCTATAGACCAACAATTTGTAGTGGAGCCAGTCAGCACAGTTTTCTGACTTCCCCAGTAGCATTCCAACACCTGAAAATAGAGACATAAATACAAAGTGAGAGTTAGCCAGGATTTGGGGAGGGGGAGGTAGGAAGAAGGATTCAGAAGACATAGGTTCCTTCCATTCTCAGCTCTGCCACCAACAAGGTATGTGACTTTGGGTAAGCGACTTTAGCCCTCTGGGCTAGTTTCTTCATCTGTAAAATCGCTAACGGATTCCTTCCTTACTGCCCACAAACATGCCCAGATCATTCCCACCCTTAAAAAGACAAAACACCTTCATTTGCCCCTGATATCACTGAACTCCTAGAAAAACCTGTCTGAATTCCTCACTTCCACTTCTCTCACCTTCCATTAATATTTCAATCCCCTATAATCTAGATTCCGATTCCACTACTCAACTGAAATCTCTCTCAAAGATCACCAACAACATCTTAGCTGAGAAATCCAATGGCCTTTTATCAGTTCTCATTCTTCCTGACCTCTCCATAGTCCAGGGATGAACTTTTTTGTGTAATAGACCCCTTTGGAAGTTTGGTGAAACCTATGGACATTTACCCAGAATAATTTTTAAAATTCATAATGAGAGGAAATGTTAAATTTCAGTTACAGGTTAGTGAAAATTAAAATGTAAATTTCTTCCACCCCAAGTTTACAGACTTCCTGAAATCTCTCTATAGGCTCCTTGGAGGGCTGTGAGGGGAAAGAACACTCATCCTAGACACTGTCTCTTCTTTGGGCTTTCCTGTTACTGTGCTCTTCTGGGTTCTCCTCCTGCTGGACATCATGTCTGTCTTAGTCACTATGCATGGGTATATCCAAAGGCTTTGCCCTGGTTCCTCTCCTCTCTACACTCTGAGTGGTCTCATTGGCTCCAACTTCATTTTCTGTGCAGATGACTCCTAGATCTCTCTCTGTCTCTGTCTCTGGCCCCCTCCTCTTGCAAGCACCATTCCTACAAGAACTTCATGTCCCGTAGGTATCTCAAACTCAACAAATACAAAGCAGAACTAGTTTCCCCTGAAAATTCCTTCCTTTCCCTACCTTCCCCACATCTGCTGAAGGTGCAACCTTTCAGTCACTGAGGTTTGAGATGCTAGAATAATCCTCAACTCTTCCCTCTCCCTGACCCTCCACACCTAATTAGTTGCCAATTCCTATTGAGTATATACCTCTACATCTCTTAAATCTGTCCTTTTCACTCCATTCACATGGCCACTCCCTGGGTCAAGCCCTCATCATTTCTCACCTGCCTACTGCAATAGCCTTCTAATTGGTATTCCTGCCTCAAATCTTTCCCTTCTCTAACCCATCCCCAATATAGCCATCAAACTAATACTCCTTTTTTTTGCTTCTGCACTCCCAGCACTGAGCCTAGAGCAGGCAATCAGTGCTCAAAGAACTGAACTGACCATCATCTCCAGTGGGGACTTACTCCACGCTTCCCAAGGCTGGGCCTCAGCAGACACCATTTGTCTGAGACCTATGACAGGGGTCCTCCCAGTCTGGCAGGACCTGCCGAAGCTTAGACCTCCCTGGCACCACCTTTTTGGAACCCAGGGTTGCCTCCAAGCACCAAGGAAATGTGAGGAGAGATTTGCATTGAGGATGAGCTGTTGACTCTCATCGAGAGAGGTGAGAACTTAATCCATTGCTCTGCAAATTCATTGTCACTTACCAATCCATTTGGTATAGTTTGTTGTCCATGATTCAAATACATATAATGATCATTGTATCCACTGTATGTGTACACTGCAATGTTGGGGGAAATGGTAAACAGGAAGGATCTACTGTCCCCTAAAAAGAGCCAAGAATGAAAACATGTTTGTATCACTGAGGATGCAATTAACAGAATCTACCCAAAATAGAAATTCCATAAAACAGGAGGCAATCCCATTCATGAGTTATAACTGATGAAGCACTGCTTCTTTTAGTAGTTCTGTGTTACAGAGAAGTAAGGGAAAGATTCAGGAGGTTCTGAATTCAGCGTTTGCAAGATAGATGGTTCTGACTATACTCTGTTATTGTCTTGGACTGTAGGCTTCCAATAAGTATTCATTTTTCTTTGGAATGATGAGTGTGTATATGTATGTGTGTGTGTGTGTGTGTGTGTGTAAGAGAGAGAGAGACAGAGAGAGAGAGAGAGAGAGAGAGAGAGAAAGTATGCTCAGCCCTACTGTAACCTTTAATGTAAAGTCACCCTCTGCTGGACTTTTTTCTAGGAATTCAAATACATACTAGCTGACCTCCACCTTTCTTCTACCACACTGAGTGGATGGTGGAGTGTTTTGAAGAACATCAAAAATGTTACCAGTAAGATGTAAGATCTGGAACAATTCACTCCAAACCCAGCACAGGTACATCACGAGTGTTGGTGGGATCAAGTACAGACTAAGCTATGACTGAAAACTAACATGAAAGATGAAAAAGTGAGTCTAAAGAAATTCTCCTCTCTCTACTCCTCTAAAACAGAGGAAGTCCTCATTGACCTGCCCTAGGTACTACGTTCTAAGGGTTGCTATGAGGCTCAGAGCCTTTACAATCAGAAGGGACTCTACAGGCTATGCAGCCTGGTCCTCCCCCTACAGAGGACCTCACTTCTCTACAAGCAACATAAGGTATACATGGAAATGAGCAATGCTGGGAAAAATCATCAGGAAGCAGCTCATAACCTTCTGGCCACAGATGTCCACGTGATGAAAATTTCCAATGACAGGGTTCACTGCAGACTTACCTTGAAACTGGCCCTTGACTGCCCAGGAGAGAGATGAAAAGCCACCAAATATGTGGCCGTCCCTGTCCTTTACCACTAATAAGCATGGACCTCTGTCTATAATATTCCCACAAAATTTTGCAAAGTTGCAGCCATGAATGTGAGAAGAAAAAATCAGTTTCCATGTGTACTGTAGTTCTGTAGGCAGGTGAGAGTTGATGTAAATGATGGCAGGAATGTTAAAGAGGCTCATGAATTCTCTGCCATCTTTACACTCTGGGATGAAACTGGCGAGCTCTGTGTGAGAATGCAAAACCAGGAATCCTCGCCTGATGACCACATTTAAGAAGGTGGAGATCTGGGGCACTTTAAGCAGCCAGTCTTCGATCAAACTGATGTCACAGCACAAATGGTCTTTGTCTGTCTCTTCATCTGAGTGGCCTGGGGGGAGGGAAATATAGAGCAAAGACTTTCAGTTTCACAAAATTTTCCTACTAGATTATTCAAACTTCTAAACTACTTTTTTTCTCTGCAGCAAAGTCCATTACAGACATGATGGTGATACTTTTAATTTCATGGCAGCCCAGGCCCACAACCGTTAAACAATCTGTATCATAGTAAACCCCAAAGGCCCAAGCACTGGCCCCTCTGCTGCTTTGTCTAAGGTCTTCAAACAAAAAAGAAAATGGCTTCATAAGTCACTTCTGAAGACTTCATGGAGTGTTAGAAGTGGACAGCACTGGGAAGATCCAGCCACTTCATCTGCAGAGAAGGAAAGTAAGGACCAGCAAGACAGCAGCGCGCCCATACTGAGGCAACTGAGTAAGCAGCAAGCCTAGAGCTTGCCCTTCTAAGCTTTCACTGCCTTCTTCATTCTGGCATCAAAGAGCTGGAAGAATGCACAAAGCAGGCATGGGGAAGCTACCTCAGTCTTGATTGGTATAACTAAAAATAACTGGCACCTAGAAAGTGTAAGGTCATGACCAGGTAAGTTTAGCCCACTGGTCTATCATTTCCTTAAGAACTTCAGATACTCCACATTCTATTATAGACTTTTTATTCTTATAAAAATTAGAGTTTTGCTAGGCATGATGGTACACACTTCTAGTCCCTGATGCTGGGGAGGCTGAGACTTAGGGATCACCGGAGTTTAGGAGTGCTGAGCTACAGCGGGCTATGCTGACTGGGCTTTCACACTGCATCCAGAGCATAAATATGGTGAACCCCAGGAAAGAAAGGACAGGCTACCTCTAGGAGGGCAAACCAGCTCAGGTCAGAAAAACTGGAGCAGGTCAAAGCTTCCACTCCAATAAATACTATAAATGGTTGCTATACCTCAAGCCCAGGAGAGACAGGAATGCCTGGTGTCAAAACCACCACCATGACCAAACCAAACTACAGTTTTAAGATACAATAACACACTGATTCAGTCTCTCATTTAGACTTATTGTCTTAGTTAAAAGAATCGAAGAAAACGTAAGGTTTATATTTTTATCATAGCAGCTTTAAAAATCTAGTTATTTTTGCATGCGCTTTCCAACCACTTCATTGTTTTTTCTGAAATCCCTCCACGTTTTTAGATTTCAAATTAAATTTTATTTTTTAAATACTTCTCATTTCTCCTGGAATTCGGAAGGTTTTTGACTGAAATTTGAGAATATCGAATAACAGTGGCAATAATGGACATCCTTATTTCACCCCCGATCTTATTGGAAATGCTTCTAGCATTATCCTCATTACATATAATGTTTGCTGATGGTTTTAGATAGATGCTACCTATCATTTTAAGGAAGACTCCATTTATTCCTATGCTCTTTAGTGTTTTTAATAGTGTTGAATTTTATCAAATGCTTTTTCTGCATCTATTGAGATAATCATATGATTTCTGTTAGTTTTGTTGTTGATATGGTCAATTATACTGATTAGTTTTCCTAATATTGAACCAGCTCTGCATTCCTGGTATAAAATACTACCTGGTCACAGTGTATTATCCTCAAGATAAGTTGTTATAATCTCTTTGCTAATATTTTATTAAAATTTTTTGCATCTATATGCAGTAAGAGAAGAAAAAGAAATTGAAGGAATTAGAATAGGCAAAGAAAAAACAAAGCTATCACTCTTCACAGATGATATGAAGGTATACTTAGAGAATCCTAGAGAAATGATTAAAAATTACTTGAAATAATAAACAAATTTAGCAAAGTTGCAAGATATAAAGCAAACCCACATAAATCATCAGCATTTCTATATATTACTAACAAAGCCCAACAGCAAGAAATAGAAAGAGAAATTCCATTCAAAGTTACTGTAGACATTATAAAATATTTGGGAGTCTACCTGCCAAAACAAACTCAGGAACTATATGAACACAATTACAAAACACTTCTCACACAAATAAAGTCAGATCTAAATAATTGGAAAAACACCAGTTGCTTATGGGTAGGCTGAGCTAATATAATAAAAATGACAATTTTACCTAAATTAATTTACTTTTTTAGTTCCAAACCCATCAAACTACCAAAAATTATTTTATAGAGCTAGAAAAAACAATAACAAAATTCATCTGGAAGAACAAAAGGTCCAGAAAACTAATGAAAAGAAATGCAAGGGAATGTGGCCTAGCTGTACCAAATCTTAAATTATATTTTAAAGCAGCAATCATCAAAACTACTTGTTACTGTCTAAGAAACAGAGTGGTGCATCAGTGGAATAGGTAGGTATGCAAGATATAAAAGTCAATGACTATACTAATCTACTATTTGATAAATCCAAAGACTCTAACTTCTGGGATAAGAACTCATTATTTAACAACTGCTGGAAAATAGTATGGCAGAAACTAGGCATAGACCAACATCTTACACCCTATACCAAGATAAAGTCAAAATGGGTACATGCTTTAGATATAAAGACTGATACTATAAGCAAAGAATAGTTTACCTATCAGATCTATGGTAGAAGGGAAGAATTTATGACCACACAAGAGACAGACAACATTATGAAATGCAAAATGGATGACTTTGGTTACGTTAAATTGAAAAGTTTTTGCACAAAGACAATGCAGCCAAAATCACAAGGGAAGCAGAAAGCTGGGAAACAATTTTTACAGCCGGTGTCTCTGATAAAGGACTCACTTCTAAAATATATTATATACAGAACTGAATAAAATTTATAAGAATACAAGTCATTCCCCAATTGATAAATGGTCAAAGGATATGAACAGGCAGTTCTCAGATGAAGAAATTAAAGCTATCTACAATCATATGAAAAAATGTTCTAAATCACTGTTGATCAGAAAAATGCAAATCAAAATGGCTCTGAGGTACCACATCATACCTATCAGATTGGCTAACGTGATAAAATAGGAAAATGATAAATGTTGGAGAAGTTGTGGGAAAATTAGAACACTAATGCATTGTTGGTGGAGTTGTGAGCCGATCTAACCACTCTGGAGCAATTTGGAACTATGCCCAAAGGGCTATAAAATTGTGCATACTCTTTGACCCAGCAATAATACTACTTCTAGGTCTGCATCCCAAAGAGATCATAAAAACGGGAAAAGGACCCACATGTACAAAAATATTTATAGTAGCTCTTTCTATGGTGCACAGAATTGGAAATTGAAGGAATGGCTGAACACTTGTGGTATATGAATGTAACAGAATATTATTGTGCTATAAGACATGATGAGGAGGCAGACTTTGGAAAAACTTGGAAAGACTTATATGAACTGATGTTGAGTGAAATGAGCAGAACCAGGAGAACACTGTACACAGTAAGAACCACACTATGCAAGGACTGACTTTGACAGACTTAGCTCTTCTCAGCAATGCATGGATCTAAGACAACTCCAAGAGACTCACCATGGAAAATGCTATCCACATCCAGAGAAAGAACTATGGAATCTGAATGCAGATCAAAGATACTATTTGCTCTCTTTTTCTTTTATTGTTTTGTTCTGTTTCTTCTATCTTGTGGTTCCTCCCATTAGTTCTAACCCTTCTTTACATCATGACTCATGTGAAAATATGCTTAATATGAATGTATAAGTAGAGCCTATATCAGCTGCATGCCATCTTGGGGAAGGGGGAGAGGGAGGTAGGGAAATTTTAAAACTCGAAATCTCATAGAAGTGAATGTTGAAAACTAAAACTAAAACAAGATTATTAAAGAAAAGAAAAAGTTCCAGAAATAAAGTGCCTACATTCTCCAGGACTTGTCCAATTGTTTTCCTCATCAAAATCCCAATAGGTCTTCTGCTGCTTTAGGTTCATTTCTTCTAGGAAAAATACCCCCCCAAAAAAAAACAAACATAATGAAGGGACTCTAATAGGTTTTATCAAACTTAATGTTTTTACCATATAGAAACCAAAACACTCCAGTCTCCAACACAAGGGGTACTTTGTCTACCGTATATGTGATTTCTATTCCCAAGGAATTACAAGCAATATTTGTATACAAACACACATATATGCAGAGGAAATAACAATCACTTTATCTTAGACTCTATTAGAAATGTGTTCCTTCATTTTAGCAAATCCAACAAAGTGCTCCCTGAGTATGAACAATCACACACAGGCACAGAAGAACTCTAAGACCTATTTCTCTTTCTAATGCTGGCATTTAGCCAGGACCACACAAGGTCCAGCCACCACTATAGGATAGCATTTACCTCACACCATCAGTTTCCTCATCTGTAAAATGGGGGCAGCTAGGTGGCACAATGGATAGAGTGCCAGGCCTGGCCTCAGACACTTACTAGCTGTGTGACCCTGGGCAAGTCACTTCACCCTGCTTGCCTCAGCTTCCTCATCTATAAAATGAGCTGGAGAAGGAAATGGCAAATCACTCCAGTATTTTTTTCAAAAAAAACCCAAATGGGGTCACAAAGAGTCAGACATGATTTTTGAAATGACTCAACAACAAAAATGGAGGTAGTAATAACACCTCCCTGCCAGGGTTGTTGTGAGGATCAAATAAGATAATACTTGTAAAGTGCTTAGCGCAGAATCAGGCACATAGAAGCTTTTATTATTATTATTATTATTATTATTATTATTATTATTATTATTATTATTATTTTCATAAGTTTTGAATGGGCTCTATTTTAATGATTTTTTTTGCATATTAAATGGTTTAATATATATTAAATGGTTAGGGATGGAAATGTTTCAGCCAGCCACAGCTCAAGTTTTACTTACAAGAATGGGAGTTGTATCTAATTTAAACCAAGAACACCAAATTTACACTCCTATAAGTAATTATATGTAAACACTGAAAGTTCAGTTATCTTTAGTGACCCTACTGTAATCACCAACCACTTTGCTATACACTATTCATGGTGCAATGAAAATATTTCTACCAAAGAATTGAATCTCCTTACAAAGAAACAGCCAGTTTTTTAAGGCTAAAAAGGAAACAAGAGACAAGTAGAACCCAATTTTAGCAAATATAGTGAGGTATAGTTCTACATATACCAAGGTTATTTCCATGCCAATAGGAATATTGCTTTGTTGACTTGGATACTAGTTTTGTTCAATGAGAAATCCATATAGTATACATATTTCACAAATCCTTATGAAGTTGGCAGTCAATTAGAAAGTGTTCTGTTATTTATATACATAAAAATATAAATACCAGTATATAACAATAAGCATGCAAAATGTTATGTTGGTTGTTCAGAGTTCTTAAAAGAATAAAAATGAATTGTTTCCTGGCTCCCAGTGGCTGGGTTGGTGGGGAATATAAAATGAAAGTTAAGACAAATTATACACTAGCAGAAATCTCAGGACAAAAATTTCCTTAAATACCCCGGAAATGCTGTGAATTATCTTCGGAACTATGGCAGTTCACAAAGCATCTTAGAAGTCCTAACATTTTGTAGGCCCTCTCAGCTTAAGCAGGTAACAAGAAGCCAGGAAACAGTATTTCCACCATATTCCTCCCTTTCTCAACATAGAGATGCCCAAATCATTACCAACATTCTGAAAAACGTGTCAAAATTCATTAATAATTTTTGAACATATTCAAATATAATTTCAGCAGATGGAAATCGTGTTATTTACCCCTTCAGTTTCCATTAATTTAAAAAAAACTTTTAATTTATTATTTTTAACACTTTTTTTTCATTTTGAGTTCCAAATTCTCTCTCTCCCTCCCACTCCATACAACACCCACTGAGAAGGCAAGCAATATGATCTTAATTATACATGTGAAATCACACAAAACATATTTCCATATTAGCCATACTGCCAAAAAAATAAAGGAAGAAAAATAAAGTGTGATAAATTATATTTCAGTTTGTAGTCAGAGATCATCAGTTGTCTCTCTGGAGGTGGACAGCATTTTTCATCATGAATCCGTTGGAATTGTCTTGGATCACTGTATTGATCAGAGTAACCAAGTCTTTCACAATTGATCATCATTACAACATTGCTGTTACTGTGCACAACGATCTCCCAGTTCTGCTCACTTCACTTTGTAACAGTTCATATAGGTCTTACTGTGTTTTTCTGAAACCATCTCCCTTGTCATTTCCTATAGGACCATAGTACTCCATCAACAATCACATGCCCCCCCCCCAAAAAAAAGTAAATTCAACAAAAGGAAAGGGGCAGCTAGGTGGCGCAGTGGATAGAGCACTGGCCCTGGATTCAGGAGGACCTGACGTCAAATTTGGCCTCAGACACATAACACTTACTAGCTGTGTGGCCCTGGGCAAGTCACTTAACCCCATCGCCTAGCCAAAAAAAAAAAGTAAATTCAACAATCATATGCCATAACCTGTTCAGTCATTCTCCAACTGATGAGCATCCCCTCAGTTTCCGATTCTTTGCCACTCAAAAAGAACTGCTATCAATATATTTCTACATATAGGTGCTTTTCCTTTTTCTTTGATTTCTTTGAGGTATAGACCTAGTAATGGTACTGCTGGGTCAAAGGGTACCCATAGTTTTATAGCCCTTTGGGAATAGTTCCAAACTGCTCTCCAGAATGGTTGGACCAGTTCACAACTCCACTAACAGTTCATGATTACACCTATTTTCCCTCATCCTCTCTAGGATTTGTCGTCTCTGATAAGTGTGAGTTGGTACCTCAGAGTTATTTTAATTTGCCTTTTTCTAATCAATAGTGTTTTGGAGTATTTTTTCATATGACTATACATAGATTTGATTTCTTCTGAAAACTGCCTATTTATATCCTTTGACCATTTATCAACTAAAGAATGGCCCTTATTTATATAAATTTGACTCAGTTCTATACTCAGTACATATTTGAGAAATGAGGTCTTTATCAGAGAAACTCGCTGTAAAATTTTTAGATATTATTTTATTATCTATGGTACCTTTTAGCAAAATGTAGTTTCCCTGATTATCATTTTTAATTAGGTCTATTTTTGCTTTGTCTGAGGTCATGATTGCTACCCCCGCCTTTTTTATTTCAGCTGAAGCATCTTAGATTCTACTTCAGCCCTTTCTGTTAACTCTATTGTGTCTTTCAGCACTGGGTTCTGGTTTCTAATCCATTCTGCTATCTATTTCTGTTTTATGGGTGAGCTCATCCCATTCACATTCACAGCTATGATGATTAGTGTGTATTTCCCTTTGTCCCATTATCTTCTGTTTCTTCCTCTCTCTTTTTATCCTGGCCCTCCTTCAAAGCCTATTTTGCTTCTAACCACAGTTTCCCTTAATCCACTTTCATATCCCTCCCTTCCCCTCCCATTTCCCTATTGGGTAAGTTACATTTTTATACACAACTGAGTGTGTGCGTGTGCATGTGTCACGGATATAATTTTTCTTCCCTCTTTGAACTAATTCCAATGAGAGTGAGGTCCAAGTATTGCCTGCTATCCCCCTCCCACACATTTCCCCCTCCATAGTAACAGCCCTTCCTGACTCGCCTCTTCTAGGTGAGAAAAATTTCCTCATTCTACCTCTCCCTTCCTTTCTCCCAGTGCATTCCTCTTTCTCACAACTTTATTCTATTTTTGGAGATCATTCCAACATAATCAACCTAAACCTATGCCTTCTACCCACGTAAACTTTTAACTGCCCTAATAATGATACAGTTTTCAAGAGTTACAATTATCATGTAAACAATTTAACCTTGTTGAATCGCTTATGACTTCTCTTTCCTGTTTACCTTTTTATGCTTTCTTTGAGTCTTCTGTTTGAATGTCAAATTTTTTATTCAGCACTAGTCTTTTCATCAGGAATGCTTGAAAGTCCTCTATTTCATTCAATGTCCATCCCACCCCTCCTCCACCAAAGGATTGTACTTAGTTTTGCTGGGTAGGTTATTTTTTGTTCTAATTCTGTTCCAAGTCCTTTGTTCCTCTAACATGGAAGCTGCTAAATCTTGTGTGATTCTGACTGTGGCTGCATGATATCTGAATTGTTTCTCTCTGGCTGCTTAAAGAATTTTCTCCTTGACCTGCAAGCTCTGGAATTTGGCTACTATATTCCTAGGAGTTTTCATTTTGGGATCTCTTTCAGGAGGTGATTGGTAGATTCTTTCAATTTCTATTTTACCCTCTGGATCAAATGGGGGCAGTTTTCCTTAATAATTTCTTGAAAGATGATGTCTAGGCGCCTTCTTTGATCATGGCTTTCAGGTAGTCCAATAATTCTTAAATTCTCTCTCCTCAATCTATTTTCCAGGTCAACTTTTTCTAATGAGATATCTCACATTTTTTTCTATTTTTTAAATTCTTTTGATTTTATTGTTTCTTGATGTCTCATGGAGTCATTAGCTTCTACTTGTTCAATTTTAATTTTTAAGGAATTATTTTCTTCAGTGAGATTTTATACCAGTTTTTCCATTTGGCCATTTCTGCTTTTTAAGGATATTTTCTCTTCAGTGGATTTTTGTGCCTCTTTTACCAAGTTGTTCCTTCTCTTTTCGTAATTTTCTTGCATCACTCTCATTTATTTTTCCAATTTTCCCTCTACCATTCTTATCTCTTTAACTCTTCTAAGAATTCTTGTTGGGTTTGGGTCCAATTATATTTTTTGAGGCTTTTTTATATAGCTGTTTTTACATTGCTGACTTCCGAGTTTATGTCTTAGTCTTCCCTGCCATTGTAGTAGCTTTTTATGGTCAAATTCTTTTTTGTTGCTGTTTGCTCATTTTTCCAGTGTATTTCTTGACTTTGAACTTAATGTTAAAATTGGGCTCTGTTCATCGAAGGATGGAGATGTATGACCCAAGTTTGACAGTTTTTCATGCTGCTGCTTTCAGAGTTAGTTCTGGGGGTCTGTAAGTTTTTAGTGCTTC